CAAGGCTTTCGTGATGCCCATGTCATTCTGTGAGTTATTGAACACCAGCTTTATAAAATTGTATAAATCATATGCATATATATGTAAATTATCTAGAAATTTGAGCATTGCGAATAAGATTGATTTTCTTAAGGAAAAAAAAGCTTGATATCTTGTAATTTTCAGCAAATTATAAATCATATTTTTGCTAAATACTTGCTATGTTCAAATGTTTTCCCAAAGCCTCTGTTAGTCCTAAGATATTCAGATCATTCTCTTGACACATCTGTTCTGTTAGCTATTCCTACTTATTTTTCTCTTTTCCAATTGTTTACCTTTCTAATGCTACCAGAAATTCATTAGATAGTGCCTTTATGTGAGAACCATGCACTCTCCAATGTCTTTTCAGTAGCTTCATGAAATCCTCACATTTTTTGTAGGATTTGCAATGCAATTTTCCATCAGTACGCTTTGTGTTTCTGTGGTGTTTTTTGATGTTTATAAGCAGGGAGAGAGTGACTAAGGAGTATGGTGAGGTGAGAAGAGATAAAGCAGGTTAAGAAGGCAGTGTTGTTTGAAAGCAGAATAGTTTTATAATTGATCAATCTTAAGTAATTCTTCAAATTCCAACAATGTTTACAATTTAAAATGGTGGAGAATTGAGTAATAAATACCTGCATAATGGGACACCCTGTACTAAATATGTATACTAATGCAGCTTTAATTTCTACTGATTCCTGGTTTGTTTGCATATAGATATATGTTCCAGCCTAGGTTTTCTTTCCTTATGTCAATACACCCTATGCTTTCAAGACCTAAAAGATAAATTTATGGGGGGAAAAATTTCTCCCCTCCCCATGTATATACCTCACAGGCATTATTCAAACATTCTGTTTTTCAGTATTCCCATGTTCACTGTTAAGTGTATTACAAACATCAGGACTTAGAACCACTTTTTACATCTTTGGAAACTTCCCTGACCTTTGCAGCTGGTTACTAATCAAGAGAACAAAGAGCTTTCTTTCTTTCTTTTTTAAATAGATAACTGGCTTTGTACTTTGGATTAATTCTTAGTTGAATTACTTACATTTCATTTCTTCTCCAAATGTTTAATCCAAGCAGTAATGCTTCGGTCTTTTTGATGGTATTAATAATATTGGTCTGTTTTGACTTAAAGGTCTTATTTGAAGAAACTCTAAGAAGGCATTTTAATAACAAGTTAGGTTCTTAAGTACTGTTTTGTTTACCAAGACAGCTTGACTCTGACTTGCGGATACTTGTTAAAGGATGGGCCTGGTGAGCGCTAGGCCACCGCCAGACGACTTAACAATTAGGTCTTGGTTCTCATGCTTTCCCATCTTCCAGGATAAACAAGGACTTCCTTGGTGGCTTGGAATCAGCTATAAAGGAATTGGCCAGTATGACTTACAAGATAAAGTGAAACCTCGGAAAGTAAGTGTGAATCGCTTCAGACTCTTCAGAGCACCTTGAGCTGTTCCAAGGATGGGAGCGTTGCTTTAAGGGACACAGAACAGTCTCGGGCAAAATCGTTGGTTAGTGAAGCAGTGGGTTCCGGGAAGGCTCCGGTTACGCGTGAAGTGTGTGTACAGAGATGAACTCTGATCACAACCTAGTTCACAAGTGCATGCAAGGAGGTTTCTGTCTGAAGTTAGGATGAACAGGATGATGCCATTTCTTTTATTAATTTATATATGCACATACATACAGATACATATTTAATTGGGTGGCTAAACAGACGGATTAATTGTAAAGACATAAGCCAAAATTTCTGGTGCCATTACCTCTCAGTAATGTGGTTATGTGTGATCTTTTTAATGCTCTTGCTATTTTTGCTTATCTTTGTTTCCCAATTTTCCACACTACACATGTATGTTTTTTGTAAAGAAAAGTAAGTTATGCGCTGTTTCGTAAAGGGCCACATTCTGTCTGGTTTGGGTTTTTCAGAGCTAATAAGGGACATTATTTTCAGTTTGAAATTGGATGATGAAGTTGTTTCTCTCGGCCCAAGCACAAGCAGACAATACGTGCTTGCCTGGGTGAGCGCTGGTGAGTCCATATGGGTAACGTCGGCTCCCGGCCTGTCAGTATCCTAAGGACTCAAAGGCTTACGCGTGCCTTTATGCAAGTGTCCTTTCAGCTTCCATCGGTGCTCACAATCTTCCTTGCAGTTGAGAGAATAAGGAAAGCTTATTTTCTCCCCATTTTATGGAGGTGAAACTAACGCAGACAACACAAAAGGGTGGGCGGGGCCACCACAGCCCTTCCATGCCTGGCCGGCTCTCCGATCAGACTGGTTGGGCACTGAGGCTTATCCAAAAGTATCAGTACAAGTCTTAGGGCATTATTTTACACCCGAGATCCATCCGAGGGAGGGGCAGTAAGAGGGCATGTGTGTAAGCACACAAACAGAACGTTGTCTCTGTAAGCCCTGTGACCAAGATCCAGTGAAGTAAGGACTACTTGAAAGTTTGCTTCTAAGTCCAAATTAGAAAAGAGGGGGCCATATGCTTTTTTCAAAATCGTTTTTATGTACAGTTATATATTTTAATTTCTCACCAAAAGTTACAAATATTCATTGTAAAAGAAACCAGAAAAGCAAACACTACAGAAACAGGCCAGTGAGGGCAGGAAGTCCTTCTCGGTCCTCGGGACCCCCGTGATGGCCAGTGTCAAAGGCGTGTGTAGATGGTTCGTGTGCACTTTCTCAGTGTGTGTGCTGAGCTTTTCCAGCGGAAAAGAAAGCTGGCTGCGCACGGACCATGCTCCGTCTTGTTTCTTCAGGCCTCTCTTCCCTCTTTTTAAAGCACCAAGTGTTCCATTATGAGGAAGCATAATGTATTTCACCAACTCCCTCTCGATGCCTGTTATGGTGTTCCCATTGGGGGAGGGTGGGCTGGAGCTGAATCCCAGCCAAGGAAACGACCAACCCCTAGTTTATCTATTTTGTAAGATCAAATTATGACCAATCATGTCTTCTTAAGGTAGGCCTCAGTTGTGCTAACATATCTTTTGCTAACTTATTTCTCCCTTTAATTTTACTTTAAGAAATAACATGCAGCCCTAGCCGACATCGCTCAGTGGATAGAGCATCGGCTTGCGGACTGAAGGGTCGCAGGTTCGATTCCAGTTAAGGGCACATGCCTGGTTTGTGGGCTCGATCCCCAGTAGGGGGCATGCAGGAGGCAGCCGATCAATGATTCTCTCTCATCATTGATGTTTCTACCTCTCTCTCCCTCTCCCTCCCTCTCTAAAATCAATAAAAATATATCAAAAAAAAAGAAATAACATGCAGGAGTCTTGCTGGTTTCCGAAACTTGCATGTGGAATATAACTTCAGTTGGCTCACAAGTCATTTCTTGGCTAATGTGGCTGATGAAGTTGAGCCTCCCGCCGCCTGCACATGCTTCCCCTGAACACAGCCAGCCTCCCCCCCCCCGCCCCCCAAATAACGGGACCGGAATGTGCACAGTAAACAGTGCAGTTGGTCTCTCTCCCTTGCTCATGAGCCACAGGCCTTTCTTGCCTTTCACAGTTTCGTAGAAATGGGTAAATACTGTGTGACACTGATCATAATCAGGTGTGCTTATTCAGTCCAGAGTCTAGACAAGGGTCAGAAGCCACTTCCTCTTTTCAATTTGCAGAGTTTTCCTGATTCACTTACAAGACAAGCCATCTAGCTCAACCCTAAACGGGCCATCTTGTGTTCATCACTGTCTTGCCTTCCCCTTCTTGGTTACTTAAGCCGTGTCCACTCCGTGACATTGTTTGCCTCCTTTCTTCCTGTTAAACCTGACAATGGGCTTGGCTTTCGTATCTTTATTTCTCCACAGCCCAACAATTTAAGGGCTTATTGAAGGGAGGCTGTTTTATGAGTCCCTGTCCTGGCCCAGTTGGCACAGATGAAAAATGCATCCCTTAAAGAGTGTGAGAGCAGACTCATAAAAAAAGGTCGCGCTCCAGCTGTTGCATGGACCTGTGCGCAGCCAGTTACCAATGGCCCAGCGTGAATGAAGGTCAAATTGGCCAACTCGAATGAAACAAAGGCTGGAATGGGAGGCCTTGGACATGCTCAGCCTCTTGAACCACATGCCTGCCATAATTATATGGGGTGAAAACAGGCCATAAGGAGGGAGATTTACCAATAACAAGAGATGCCAAAAGGCTGTTTTGAAAAAGGGTTGGTCCAAATCCACAGGCTGAGTCCTGTGTCCTTTCCACATAATGTCTGTCCGTTCTAGACGGAGTGTGGGGGCCTGTGTTTGTCTTCCCTCCGAGAACACCAGCAGGTGCCCTTCATGTGTTTTGACTGTCAGGCCTTTGCCAGTCATGGGCCAAGCTGCCTTCAGTTCTGTAGTAGACTGGTGAAGGGAAGAGTTTGGGGAGCAGCCCAAAGCCTGTCTCTGATGTCTCTTTGCTGGGTAACCTTGGACACGTTGCTGACTCTCTCTTGAAGCGCAGTTTCCTCATCTGCACAATGGTAATGCCACCAAACGCCCAGGTGGTTATAAGAATGAGATGAGATTACACGGCCATCACTCAGTAACCGGTAGTTGTTAGGAGGGAGAGAGACGCAAGAGAAGGAAGGAGGAACATTCTTGGATCACTGTTTGGATAGACGATGACCCAACATTGCTACAGACCCACAGCCCTTAAGCTCCACCACTGGTCCACCCTCAAAGTTTTTGTTTTCAGAGGCTGGTAAGCACTCTGCCTCTCCCAGTTCATTAGCAACAATGCCCTACTGCATGATGCAAATTAAGAGAAAATTTTAAAATTTTAAATTACAGAGCACAAAAATTCAGGGTATTAAAAATCCAGGTCATAAGCAGTTTTTCTTTTTAATCCTCCCTTTGGGCACAAAATGTGCCACTTCGAACTCTTAGGGAATGTGAAAGCACACCAGAACTCAACTGCATTTCAAATGCAGAACATTTGAACTTAAAAATGATGAAGTTTTACTTTAAAAAGAAAACACGCAGACTTGTATTTCTTCTCGGCTTTTATGGTTCATTCAGTACTTCAAGGAAAATGTCTGTTCTTCACAAGATGCAGACCAGGGGGTCAGTGGCTGATCAAAGTCACGCCTTGACTGCCTTATCCCCCCGAGAGGAGTCCCACCTGGGACCAGTCAGCGAGGAGGAGTAGAGATGGCATGCAGGTGACGCTGTCAGACGTGGATGCCGCGGTGGGGTGAAATGCTTTTTCAGATTAGTATCTTTCTGCATTATGTCAGGTTGAGAAAGTCTTACAATCGCCCCGGGCATCGCAGGGTGAGGAGGAAAGGTTCTCAGCCTTCAGTTAACTGGTTTTTAAAAAACTGTTGGTATATAAAAAAAATAAATAAGTAAAATAAAAATAAAAATAAAAACTATTGGTATTCCCAAATGCCTAGACCAGTTATGTTAAGTTACAAATGCCTTTCTGTTTCTTTACCGCAAAAGTATAGAGTTCGTTTCACTTAAACTCAGAGTGACTTGCTTGTTTTTCTAAGCAGAGCCATCTCGATCCTTTCTAGCCTCCCCTTGCCTTTCTACAACTATCGCCTCACCAGGGCCTCCATTAGGAGACCGCTTCTAACGCTGCTCAAATGCTAGGTGAGGCTCACCATAGGAGGGAAGGCGTGCTGTCCAGCTCACTTTCTACATCAACACAAAATCCAGTGCAGTGTGGAGGGGAAAACTGAGTCACCACATGTCAACGGGAGACCTGTCCATCCTGTTTGTAAAGTGTGTAATTAAGCTTCAGCCACACCAATAATCAATCTGATGGTTACAACTTTCTGCAGACTCAGTGGGTGGAGAACTCAAATCCTGAAGCTTGGATTTAAAGTGCGAGCCAGCCCTGCACTCCTGCTTACAGGTTGGCTGACCTGGAGCTGTTACTCAACCTTTCTGGGCTTTTATTTTCTCAGCTGTCAAGTTCAGATCATTCTGTCTACTGCATGTACCCCAAAGATCATTCCAAGAACCCAGCGAGCCAGTGAATTCCTTCACTCAGCAGACATTGTCCGTTCACACATGCTCTATAGGAAGTTTACTGGGCAGCAGTTAATCACAGGTAGGATTTTAAGCAGCTCTTCTAAGACAAGGAACTCTCAGAGAATGGGTTGGACATTGGCAAGTATCCATTCCATTTCAAAACCAGCAGGCAAATGGAAAGAATCCAAGGCAAGCAGCCATATTTTTCATAAAGTCACCAAGTCTAATTGCAAGGGGGCTGGAGAGTGCAGGCTCCAGGTGACCATGGCAAGGCCTGACTCAAGGTGTTCTGTTACTAGGAGGAAGGAAGAACGTCCTGGCTGGTGTGGGTCAGTGGTTAGAGTTTCGTCCCATGCACAGAAGGGTCGTGGGTTTGATTTCTGGTCAGATTTATACTCAGGTTGCAAATGAGTTTCTCTTTCTCTCATCAACTAAAAAGACATACTCTCAAGTAAGATTAGAGAAGAAGGCAGAAAAATGGATTCTGAGGGAGATAACTAGTTTTTGTCCCACTGTATTGGTTCCTTTGAAGTAAGCAAGAAATAAAGACAAGTATGCATTTTGAGTAGTTTCTGATGGAAATTAACAAGATGGCAGGACAGTAACAGGATGAGTGGAGGACAGGGTGTGTTGGGGAAGGCTGCTCTGAGAAAGGTGACGTTCCAGTTGAGACCTGAAGGGTGAGGAGCCGGGCTTGTGGGGAGCGGGTTGGTGTGTCCCCGTCAGAGAATAGTGTGCACAGAGGGGAAGGAGGGAGGCCACTGTAGCCAGAGCTCAGCGGGGAAGTGTTCCCCACGGAGCTGAGAGGGCGTTTGAGGAAGAGCAGCGCCTGCTGGACAGGCAAAGCCATTAGGTTTCATTATGTCTTTTCCCTTGTATTTCCTGGCATTTGCCAAATGGCTGAATTGTTGGCACATACAGAAAGCTCTTTAATAGGGCTGACTCGTCCAAAGGCAGAGAAACCAAACAGTGCCCACGGCATTGTGAAGACTTGTTCTATGAAGAGACACACACAGTAAAGGTTTCTCCGTGTGTGCTTATGACTAAAGATTGGTTTCATTTTTTTAAAATATATTTTTATTGATTTCAGAGAGGAAGGGAGATGAAGAGATAGAAACATCAATGATGAGAGAGAATCATTGATCTGCATGCACCACAACCCGGGCATGTGCCCTGATGGGGAATTGAACTGTGACCTCCTAGTCCATAGGTCAATGCTCAACCACTGAGCCACACCGCTGGGCACGATTGCTTTCATTTTAAATCATTCCACCTTCTGGAACAAATTTCTAGCAAGACAGTGCAATGTACCAATTTTATTTTTTTCAAAAAAAAAAAAAATTATTGGGGCCATTCTGTTTGCAAGGGCCCCAAGCTAGTACTTTATATTCTTTATCTTATTTAAGGAAAAAGCCAAGTTCCTGTCATCAAGGACCTGACAATCTATCTGGAAAGACAGAATTATGTTCAAAATTAGGGATATAGTTGAAAATATAATAACCAGACTAGGTACCAACCCGTGAGAGGGGATGCCATGCTGGTGCCCGGAGCAGCCGGTCCACTCTGGCTGCATCAGGTGCCCGCGGGGAGCGCTCCGAGGCGCCTCTGCACAGGAAGCCCTGACCTCAGCCCCAGGCGAGAGGTTCAGCCACAGGAAACCTGGCGGGGAGAGCATCCTCCTAGACAGTCAGGGTTTAATGAGATGCATTTCCTGATACCCAGAACTTCATCTTCAAAATACCAGAACTTTACTCCTTGCATGTAAGATGGGAAGTTTTGTGTATGGAAGGAATGACATCACTTGTGAAGAAGTAACTTCCACCCCTGGAGTGTGTACCATTTGGGTGTTTAGGGAACTCGAGTTTGGCATCCCTGGCACTTCCAGCAGGGCCTCTTCTGGTCTGATGAGGGGTTGTTTTTAGAGCAAAAAGCTTATCTCCCTCAGCAATACACTCCCCTGACCAGCGCACAGGCACATCACCAACTTACCCTCTGCGGCGGCTTTCTCATCTCTGCTCTTGGGACATGTGGGGCCAGGGTTCTGCGCCGGGGCTGGGGGGGGGGGGTGGGGGGGGCGGGGCGGGGGGTGATGCTCCACAGCGTCCCCAGAAGATGCTCGTGGCACCCCCCTCCAGCGTCATAACCAAGATGTCCCAGACCTCTCCAGACGTCCTGGGTGGAGGGATGGCGAGGGATGCAAAGTCATTATTGGTGGAGAACTGCTGGTCTAAGTGAAATGCGAGGGACTCAGAATCCATTTTCCTTCCTGTGCGGTAGAACTGGGAGTTACTGCTTTTTTCTTTCTTTCTTTTTTTGTTGACACACAAATGTCCATAGCGCGCTCTTCCCGGTGAGAAAGGTCGGATGGCGGCTGTGGTGAGGCACTGGGGGTTTGGAGCCCGGTTGCCTGGCTGGGAATCCCGGCTCAGCCTGTTTAGGGATGTGACTTTGGCCAGTTTGCTGAAGCCTGTGTGAGCCTCAGTTTTCTCTTGTAAAATGGAACTAAAAGTAGTACCTCCCCATCCAGCTGTTGGGAAGATGCCATCTCAGTCACATAAACATTGATGGACAGGAAATGGCTGGGTGGGTAGAGGGAGGTCAATTTGGTTTTCTCAACGCCTATAATCTGGCAAAATTCTATTTTTGTGGTACTTCAGGAGGCAAAACCAGGTCCACTAGCTGGCTCATGAACAGCATGTTCATCAAATGTAACCTTTTTTTTAAATGAAAAAAGATTAAATCAATGATACCATGATTTGTTTTCTTCGGGTCACTGCAGAGGGTGGCCCTGTGTGAGTCATTGACGTCAGTCACACACTACAGCTGTGACCAGCCCAGATTTAGTCATTTCTAGGTGGATTTGCAGTTAAATGATTAACCTGTGTTATAAGTGCTATTACAGTGGAACCTCAGTTCTCGGAACATCTCCCATCTCCAACAGTCCGCTTCTCAACCTGACAAGCCTTCCATGCTGATCCCTGTACGATCAGTGACGCATCTCTTGGTGACAAAGGAGAGAAGGCGCGAATCAGTCAGTTCACTGCTGTTACAATCTCAGGATAGTGTGCTGTGAACATTTTCGTGGTATTTTTTGCTTTTGTTGCTGCTTACAATGATTGTTAAATTTTCATTTTTTACTGTACATTTCCTTTCCTTTTTGTTAAATTTTCATTGACATTTCATGTCCTTTTTGTTTTTAAAGTGTTTATAGATTAAACAGTACATTAGACATGTACGGTATATAAGAAAGGTTAAATCTTTTGAGGGTCTAGAACGGATTAATTCAATTTACTTTATTTCTAATGGGAAAAGGCGATTTGGTTTTGCAAAAGCTTTCCAGAACGAATTAACTCTGAGAAATGAGGTTCCGTTGTATATGTATTTTGTAAAAGCCTCAGTGACATCTCTCCTGTCCTTGCCTAGTGTTAAACCTTTGGGTGGTGTCTACTTCCAGTTTGTCAAGGTTCAAAAAGACACTTTGATCCGTACTGTCCAAAGGCTTTTTCTCAGTCTTTCAAAACCCAGGAGGTCCCTGTGGCCGGCGGCAGGTGCACTCCTCAGCATTTCTGCACCTGCCGGGGCACGTTCCTGTACTGAGCACCGAGACAGGAGGGAGGTGGCGTCCCCCTGGGGCGGAGGCGTGCCTTGACCACTCCCCGCTCCTCTGTGACCTCCGTGGTGCAGGATCAGTGAACACATTTCCTACCTAGAGGGTGTGTTCAGAAACCACTGATAAAATCAACAGAAATACCGCAGTTTTTACAGAAACTCACAGAATTGGAAGCCTGGGTGATACAGGTGTGTCAACAGAATAACTTGGCTGTTGCTCACCAGCGGAAAGGCAGCTTTGGGATCCAGAAGCTGTTTCTCGTTCTATGCCTGCTAAGTGGCCACCTCCATCTGCATATGGGCATGAGCAAATTCGGGAACTGGACTGAGGGCCTTCGAACAGAACAAGTAGCTTTGTCACTTACCAAACATCTACTCTGAGCCAAGCACTGGGCTAAGTGTCTCCTAAACATAAGCTCACTGGACCTTCCAACAGCCCTCTGAGGCAGGCGGTGTTGGTCCCACTTTACAGATAAGGAAACTGAGACTCAGGAAAGTTAAGCACTTGCCAAATAAAATACAAGTGGTGGGCTGGCCAGCGTGGCTCAGGGGTTGAGTGTTGACCTATGAACCAGGAGGTCACGGTTCGATCCCCGGCAGGGCATAGGCCCCGGTTGCAGCTCAATCGCCAGTGTGGGGGCGTGTAGGAGGCAGCCAATCAATGGTTTTCTCTCATCATTGATGTTTCTATCCTGCTCTCCCTCTCCCTTCCTCTCTGAAATCAACAAAAATATATTTATTTTTTTAAAAAACACGAGTGGTGGAACCTGAATGCAAACCAAGGCAATCTGACTTGGTCCCATTGGTTCAGGTAAGCCCCACGAGAAAGGGGACCTGGCCATGATTCGCCAACAAGAACAGAACCGCTCACATAGAAGGCAGACAGAAACCTTGGTTGATTCGAGAAGAATGAGTAAATGGTTCCACAAGCCACTATCGCGTGCGTCACCGAGGCTCCTGAAAGTCCCCGTGCTTTCCTGCAGCCTTGCTTTCCAGCAGGACAGTGATTTCAGGTTTAGGGAACACTGAGATCGTGGGGTGGGAATGGGGAAGAGGTGATTTCTTCTGGTTCTTTAAGTTTACAGTAATTGAGGGTAGATTTCAAGAAAATGGCTTAAATATCCAACCCATGCATTTCATTAAATAAAGTGTAATAATGGGTGGCAAGTTTTTCTGGAACTATCAACTTCCTTTACATCTGAGGATTATTGTGATTACATGTTGCATACTTAATAAAAGAAGTAAAATATGACTGGTAATGTAGCTCTCAAATAGGGTTTGACTCTGCTTTGGTTTTGTATGAGTTTTTAAATTTTTTGTCACTTTCTTTTGTAAGGCAGGATGCTTACTGACCTTAGCATGTGTTCTCTTCCTGTTGTAGCTTTTTGATGATCTCTTTGTTAATGTCATCGTTCTTATTGCTCTTCTTTTCCTTTTCCTACCTTTCCTGTCTATCTATTTTGCAGTCTCAAAGTTAATCCCAGCTATTATTTCCTCTGTTGTCATCTACTTCCTTCCTTGGAGGCTGAAGGGCACGATGGATCATTCTAGATGGGTGTAGGTTAGAAAGAAAGTTGGACGACCTAACATGTAGCTTTATTTCTGTCATATAATATTTCCACCATAGATTCCCAAAACATAATTTCTAACTTATAGCTACTAGAGAGTGTCAAAGAAACAATAATAAATACTAACAAATGGTTGTTATTATGCTTGTTGAATGATCACTTTATAAAGCAGTCTAGTTTCATACTCTTACCTTTGTGTTGCAAGGCAAACAAAACTCATTTTTTTCTTTTAGATCTCTGAGAATGGTGATTTTGGCTTGGACTAAATATTGTGTTCAATTTTAATATGAAAATTTCAAATGTGTGTGTGTATACACACATGTGCATAAATAATATATATAATAATCCTGTCCTACCTTAAGACATCATGCCTGGTAATAGTCCCACCCTATATGGGCACCAACTGTTACACATGATAGAAGATCGGTTCCTTCGCCTTCGAGCTCTCGCCCTTTCCTCGAATGCAGGATGGTCTCTTTGGGCCCTCACACTCCCGGGGATTGAGAGTGCTGCCTCCTGCATGAGCGTTTCTCAGTGGGGCGGCCACACCGTCAAGTCAGCTGGGGGATGTTTCTTTGACCAGTTTCCCCTTTTCCTTCCATTGGTCTGAAATCTCCTTATGATTTTGACGGGGGCTGTGGAGGGGCTCTGATTTATCCTTTAAGGGAAACAGTGGCAGAAAGCAAGGGAATGAAAATGAGTTAGCTGCCTGCTGTGTGGCGGCGCTGCCCTGGGAGTGCTGACTGGGTGATCGACCGTCCAGTAAATGAACCATCCGCCTCAGCTCCATTGCCGTTTGCCACTCCATCTGCCTTTCTGAGAGCAGGAGCACAAATGTCATATAAAGGCACAAGGAAGAATGATTTCAGAAATTTCAAAAGAACAGCTAGCCTGTCTCCAGCTGCCAGCTGGCTCTAGGGCGGCTACAACCAGAAGTATTTTCCTCACGCCCCAATCATTGATAAGAATCATAATGATAATAGTGTCTAAAACAGAGGCCTCTGAATGCTTGGGAGGTGGACATGCGCTCTTGCATAAAGTAGACTGGCCTATGTTCGTTTTATGTAAGCATATTGTTTTAATTTGAGAAATGTTCATTTCTTTTAATTTTTTAAAAAATACAGTGGTAAGAAAATGCCAACACCTACATAACCACTTAAATGGGATTACTAATATTTTATCATATTCACTTCATCTTGTTTTTATTAATAAAAGAAGTGAGATATTGCTGTAATGTAGTGTTCTGTACCACTTACCCCTGTACATTCTGCCGTCCCCCCCGAGGGGCACCCCCTGTCACAAAGGAGTTTGTCATCCCACGTCAATCTCACAGGCACAGCCCTGAAATCACTTTTTGCATAAACTTTAAGGTTTCAGGTAGGGAAGTGGCCTGTTGGCCCCGATGCAGGGACGGGCTGAGTGGAGGCCAGGCGCTAGGATTTCAGCGGGTGAGTGCTGGGGGAGGTGCTGGCAGATCGGGTTTCCAGCCCGGCCTGGTTCTCATGTGTGTGGGAATGGACGCGAAAGGAAACCCAGCTGCGCTGCGCTGCGGCTCTTCCTGTAGAACCTGTTGGTGCCCCGGGTGAGTAACCAGGTAGAAATGGCTCCCGGGCCGCTCGGCTGAAATCTACCTGCGCCCAGAGCCACTTACTCCCCGGGAAGATCGTCTGCATCCACACTGTACCCCCTTAAAGCCGAGTCTCTCTCCGGGGAAAGCCTGCCGGTGAGAACTTTGCTCTCTCCCACCGGTCGGTCGGTGGGAAGAAGGAGGGGGACGGGGAGGTGTCCCCAGATAAGAGCGGCTGCTGTCTGCCGGCGAGGCGGCCGTGGGAGGCTCACTGTGTGAAACTGAGTCACGCCTAAGTCTTAGGAAACTCGCTCAGACTCACCCGGCTGCCGTCCGGGAGGGAGGTGGAAAGAGCCCGAGGGGTTCCCTCACAGTTCTGTCCCATTTTTGGAACTTCTGGATTAAAAGAAATGAAAGCCTCACGTCCATGGACATTTTAGGAAACGGGTACGTAGCTTCAGCTTTCACTAGTCCTTCCGCCTGGGCGAGGGCTGGAGCTGGCCGCTGTGCCCGGGGGCGGGCTGGCTTCACTGCTGGGATGGCGGGTCTCGCTGGGACACTCTGTCTCCTGTTTGAACACTTTGGCTGCATGTGGGCAGGACCCTTAGATCATGCTGTTCTCGCAGGAGCTGACATGTCTGAGTACCTGGGTTCCTGTGCTTCAGGAAATGGTTCTCCTGATAGTGCGTTGCAGAGAAGTTATTTGGATCATTAAAATGCTCTATGAAGGTTCTTTGAACGTATGTTAAAAACCCAGCCAAAGTCTAGTGATGGAATGAAACCACTGTGCTATTATTTCCCTAATAATCAAGGCTAGGGTCGGAGTAGAGGAATTCTATGAAGTCCAAGAGACAAGACCGGGCTCCGGCTAGCACAGTCTAATGTGAGTCACGGGCCAGGAAATGCAGCAGGCACACTGAGTTCTGTGACGAGCTGCCTTTACAAGTTGTGTGGCTTTCAAAAGCACATTGCTAGGAGGGTCTCTTCTCCACCAACTGGCAAACAGCTCTGGGGCCGCAGTAGAGCGTCAGCAGTGGGGATGTGGAAGTTACAAACCCCGGAGGCTCCGGCTCAGACACCAAAGGGCTCTGCGCCTTCACCCCCACCCACCCCCGCCTCCAATTCCTGGTTTCTGCCCCATTTAGGGGAACACTCGTGGGCAAGGAAACCGGTGGTGGAGAATCGCCCCTGCTTGGGGTTCTGGCTTACTTTCACTTTGCTTTCCTTTGAAATGTAATCCATGGTCTCACTGCACCCTTTGGTCCCTTTGCATATCTTTCCATTTAAATGTGAATCAGCATCTCTGATCAGGAGGCATGTGCTTGCCGGAACCTCGGAGGATTTCCGTACCAGCTCTCATCGCGATGAGTCACGGGAAATAGCATGCATGTTCCCCACGGTGCATAGTTTTATTGTTCAAGGAAGAGCTGGTGGAAATTACTGTCAGAAGGAGGGATAAAATGGTTTCAGGTTGTCGTTGGTTTGTAAAAAGACTGCATCACATGTTCATGCTTACTGTCAGTGTGCCTTCTTGATTATTTTTTTCATTGAGCTGATTTCTAGATGCAGTAAAGTTTAACATAAATTAAAGCCATGTGTGTTTTTGTGTTTTCTTAATTTATTAGCTGTTCCAGTGGAAACAGCTGGAGAACTTATATTTCCGTGAGAAAAAATTTGCTGTTGAAGTTCACGACCCACGGAGGTGAGGGGCCCAGCTTTCCCTCTGCGTGGTCCTGGGGGCTCTCTGAGGGATGCTGCAAACATTCACGTGCCGCTTTTGCGTGGATGTGTGTTTATTTCTCCTGGGTCTGTACCTGGGGGTGGAACTGCTGAGCAAAGGGCTGACTCTTTAACCTTTGGAGGAACCCCCGGAGGTTTACCAAGGCGGCGACACCATTTTCCATTCCCACCAGCAGTGCATATCTGTTCATTTTCGCCACATCCGCCCTAACACTTGTTATTTTTAGTTGAGTTGTTCTTTAACAGCCATCCTCGTGGTGAGAAGTGGCATTTTCCTCATGACTGATGATGGCTGAGCATCTTTTCATGTGCTCATTGGCCATTTGCATATCTCAGTTCAGATCCCTTGCTCATTTTGAAATGGAGTATTCCTGATCACTTTAGAAAACAGCTGCCAAGTGATCACCATTAATGAAAGTCAGGACTGTCGTTTCTCCAAGCTGATACATTTATGGCTGTTCGGAGGGCACGGGGATGGGGGAAACAGCCCTTCACAAAACGCTGACCTGAATTCCTACAAATGAACGTTGGTCCCTCCCTCCCTCCCCTCCCCCATCCTTCCTTCTTCCACCCTGTCCTCCGATTCACCTGGTTTGTGCACAGGCAGCCCTCTGGACCAGGTTTGGACTTGGGTACTCTCAGGCAGCATCGTTATGTCCATCCTCTGATGGTGCCCGAGTCAGACAAGTCCATCTAGACCAGTGGTTCTTAACCTTCCTAATGCCGCGACCCTTTAATACAGTTCCTCATGTTGTGGTGACCCCCAATTTCATTGTTACAAATTGGACATAATTAAAGCATAGTGATTAATCACAAAAACAATATGTAATTATATATGTGTTTTCCGATGGTCTTAGGTGACCCCTGTGAAAGGGTCGTTCGACCCCCAGAGGGGTCGTGACCCACAGGTTGAGAACCGCTGATCTAGAGCCTGGATGTTCTTTCCCTGAGGAAGGTGCTGATCCCCAGCTCTCTGTCTTTAAAATAGTATCCCATTTACTCCCGGCTGCTTGTGGTGGTTTTAGCTACGTGTTTTTAGTACAGCTTCTAATTTGACTAATCCTTATCTGCCTTTGAGTGTGTGCATGCATTTTTTAATACACTAGTTTTACAGAGAGTTATTACCTAGGAGTGATGGGCTTTGTTATAAAAGGAGAAACTCAGAGCTCTGTCAGCATGAGGGTGGCAGCAGAAAAACAATGAAGGAGATGTTATTACATTACTCACTGGAAACGTTTCATGCCGTGCCGGGCCAGAAGCCAGTGATTTGAGTGCTTTTCTTCATCTTCAGGATTTCGGTATCAAGAAGGACCTTTGGGCAAAGTGGCCTCTTTGTGCAAACCTGGTATGCACACTCTTCGCTCATCAAGTCCATCTGGGTGATGGCCATCAGTCAGCACCAGTTTTACTTGGACCGGAAGCAAAGCAAAGTAAGTGACTAGACGAGGTTCTGTAGGAATAAGCTCCTGCCCCTCATTTGCTTTCTGTTTAAAAGATAAGCATTCTCAGAAAAGATGAAAGCACATCGGTTTTTGTTCTTTTAGGTTTTTTTTTTAAACTTTACTACCAATTGTTTTAATTTTTCTTATATTTAAAAAAAGAGCAATATAGAACCTGATTCAAAAGTTGTCAGATTTCCCCTGGTTGGGTGGCTCAGTTGGTTGGAGCATCGTCCCATACACCAGAAAGTCATGGGTTTGATTCTCAGGCAGGGCACATACCTAGTTTCCATCCCCAGTTGCAACTGATCAATGTTTCTCTCTCTCTCCCTCTCTCTCTCTCTCTCTCTCTCTCTCTCCCGCTTCCCCTCTCTCTCTCCCTTCCCCTCCTAAAAGTCAAGTCAGCCTATGGACTAAAGGGTCCCAGGTTTAATTCCAGTCAAGGGCACATGCCCGGGTTGTGGGCTCTCATCATTGATGTTTCTATCTCTCTCTCCCTCTTCCTTCCTCTCTGAAATCAATAAAAATATTTTTTTTAAATCAATCTCATCATTGATGTTTCTATCTATCTCTCCCTCTCCCTTCCTCTCTGAAATCAATAAAAATATTTTTTTAAAAATCAATAAAGATATATCTTTGGGTGAGGATTAAAAAAAATTGTGTGTATATGTAGACTGGTAATGTTTTAAAGTTAATGATTGAACTATATCATGACAATCATGCATCGTTATTAATATGTTCAGCTACAAAGCCTAAGTCTTGTTTCTTCTGAAGAGTGTCATTTTAGTATATATATAAAAATTCTAAATTGTTCTCCATGTTGACATTTTTATTCTATAGTAACTTACTCATTAATTTGACAGAGGCTTAATTGAGTGAATTCCATCACAATGTTGTATACCTTTTAGGCAAAAATTCCTTCAGCCAGAAGTTTAGACGACATCGCGATGGATTTGACGGAGATGGGAACCCCGAGGACCTCCAAACTGGTCACCCTGGAGGCAAAGAGCCAGTTCATCATGGCCAGCAATGGCAGCTTGATCTCCTCAGGTAACCGGCGGGGGTTAGAGAGAGTGCAGCAATCTTTAGTTTATTTCACTTTTGTTGTTGTTGTTTAAACCATTTTTAAATGCATCTTTTAACCCGTTATTTTGGGAATAAATAAGCATATCCAAATTACAGTATGCAGAAGTTTTTAATAAAAATTTTAAACTGGTTCCAAAAAGTATAAAGTTAAATATAGTCAGGTTGCATAAGTAACACCAGATGCAGAGACAGTGAGTGCCTAGGAGCAGCTTAAAAGGACATTTTCTCCTGATAGATTCCATCAGCTTCTTATTCCTCCCAAGAAGTCCTGGAACCTTTTGTCACTAAGTATTCGCTAACATGATTTTCCCATTAAAATCCCACTGTCAGCTTGTGCATCTGAAGCACAGAATATTCCTTTGCCTTGCTCGCTTGCTTTCTAAAAGAACATTCTAAGCAACTGTCTCAAGGAACATCTCACCTGCTCAGAAAAGTTAATTTTGTCCTCGAGTGTGTCTAAGACATGAAGCATTTTATTACTGCTCCAAAAGTGACTGAGCCAAAACGCAGAAGGCACATTTCATTACCAGGCTCTGCTGGATGCCCAGGAGCTTGAGAAAATGTTCTCCCGTTTCCTTTTATTATGTTCACGAACAAGGAGAAAAGAAATAAACTATTTAATAACAGGTTTGGCTTAAAAATCCTTTGTCCTTCGAAAAGGAAGGAAATATCCCGTGGGTAAACCTTCCCTGCCCCCACTTCCAATCCCCCAGGTTCTCAAGACTCGGAAGTGAGTGAGGAGCAAAAGCGAGAGAAAATCCTGGAACTCAAGAAGAAGGAAAAGCTGTTGCAAGAAAAGCTCCTGAAAAAAGTCGAGGAGCTTAAGAAGATCTGTTTGCGGGAGGCTGTGAGTCTCTTCTGTTTGGGGGGCTCTTCAGATGGCACTTGACAGCTCTGGCCAGTACCCATCGTCCTGTCGCTCTGTTCTGTCCCGCAGGAGCTCACAGGCAAAATGCCAAAGGAGTACCCGCTGGGCATCGGTGAGAAACCTCCGCAGGTCAGAAGGCGTGTGGGCACCGCGTTCAAGTTAGATGACAACCTGCTCCCCAGTGAAGAGGTATGAGCACCAGCCGCCGTTTCTGTGAACAGAGACAGAGCCGCTGTCTGC